CCCCAAAACCCCAAAACCCCAAAACCCCAAAACCCCAAAACCCCAAAACCCCATTCCAAAACGAAATATTGATTTGATGAAATCATGAATTGCTTAAGGAATCTAAATTGCATAGTAGACAATCAAAGAGTATGTTGCAAAGACCAGGAACATGACTCCTCCGATTAGATTTATACATTTTTCTGTTGCATAGCTCGATATTGCTCTTCCAAAAAGTATTGCTAGGGAAAGAGCAAAAATATGTCCAATTGATCCTGCGAGAGTGACTATCCAATATGAGTATTGGGTAGCAAGGCCTATTGCTGAGAATTGAGATCTATCTCCCATCTCTGTGACAAAAATTGTTCAGATTATTTTTATTGCTTGATTGAAAGCAAGCATTTTGTGAGTTTTTGTAACTATACTCTGTCCATGAGTCTTAACAAAATTACAATTGTTATCTTCCTCTGAATCACCACTTTCAGTACTGCCCATATTGAATGTTTCAAAATTTTCTTTCTCAAAAACCTGTTTTTGATTTGCTTTAAATTGCCTCTCATCTTCAGGAATCATTTCTTTGGCTATTTCTTGCATTTTATCATCAAAATCTTGCTCTTCTTCATGATCAGTGATGCCCATATAAATCAGGGCAATTCCAAAAATAAAGAAAGAAGTCACAGTGATTATCTTTAGCCAAAATTGATCGAAGAATAATTGAAAAATTCCTCCTATTTTAGTGTTTTAAAGGAATAACTTACCAACTGCAGTTCCTATGGTATGCATTCCTCAAAGTCCTATTGAAGAAATTAGCAGCAATTTCAGTCCATTCATCTTTGTAGCATAGAGGATGATGAACAAGAAGGTCTATATTTTAGTTATTTTATACCTTATCTCCTATTTCTGACAGGAAGATAAATCAAAAACTGTACGAAAATCCTTCGGTTGCAGCATATACTATATGAAGACAATTTTAGAGAGGACATGGCTAAGAATTATATTACGCCAGTCTTCTTCGAGATCCTCTGAAGTATTTTCTATCTGTTCTGAGGCTGGTTTAGCTACGCTGATAAATTCTAATTTGTTCGGGGATTTTTGAATTGTGAATGGAAATATTAATCAATCTTCTGAGTCTGGGCTGTCCTGGTCGGGAATTTGTGTTTGGACATCTTGAAGGTTTGTTGGCTTTTTGATCCCATACTTATCTTTTAACTTTTTAGTCCCATACTTATCTTTTAAAGCCCTCCATTGAGTATTACTAAAATTTGTTCTGGTTAGTATAATTTTGAGAAAAAGTTTGAAAATTCAGAAGTTATCCAAAAGAAATTTTAAGATATATCTCTGATTTTTAAAATATCTAACTGGTTTTGAAAAGCTAGAGTTTGTTAAAAGAATTTAAAGCCTTTTCTCTTGTTCATTATTCTTATCTTTTACAACAGAGGATTTAGGAAGGAAGTTTTTGCCCATACTTTTTAGGTTAAAAATTCTACTATGGACTGGAATAACAAACTCAAAATGATTTGGATGTTGTGTATCCACCAGCAATTCTGATCGCTTAAAATGGAAGATGATGCTCAAGCGATAGAGCTTTGTTAGATTTTGATTAAAAGTATGGGTATCAATGAGTTTCATTAATCAGTTTTAAACAGTATGAAACCCTTTATTGCTATGAAAGGATCAGAAAAGTCTACCTAAAGAAGGAAGATCCAGAAAAGTTAAGTGATAAGACTTTAATATATTTTCTTGCTTAGACTGGAATGTGACGTGCTCAGACTATAATTTTTTATAGCCATAACTACATTTTTAGCCCAAATCGAGTAAAGATTATGAAAATATTATGGGTTAAGAGATATGATACACTTTCTTCCTGATCAAAGATACTTCCATTTTTGGTAATAGTAAGGAAATCTCAAATAACTTACTTGGGAAATAAGGAATCTGAGCTCACACTTTCGACTTTTATGCATTGATTTTGACAAGATTTTCCTACCTGTATTTATGTTAGTTGGCATATTTTAAATGTTATAGAGACTGTAAGCAATTAATCATGGTTCAGTTTAGCTAATTTATGAGGATGAATATAGATAGTGGCTATCATGTTCTTGAGGAACTCTGTAATGTAGTTTTCAAATCTGTGGAAATAATTAAGGTAAAATTAGAGGCGAGTGATACCTGAATAGATCTTATCTACTAAATCATAGGGGTAACTATTACTTTTGAATTTTCAAAGAAAGGATGGAAGTGAGAGCAGTTTACTAAATCATCATGAATACCCTTTATTGTTAAATTCTTAGGAAATAAATATAACAATCCTAAACTTGATTGATAAAGAATTATAAGTGATTATCTAAAGCATGCTTTCTTACATTAAGACTTGATCAACTCGCTTTTGATAGGGTTAAAGAAAGTAGAGCTACAAACACTCTAATTAAATGCTTCATTATTCTTTTATAACTAAATTGTTTTATCAATATATGGTATTTTGATTGGGGTTTTGGGGTTTTGGGGTTTTGGGGTTTTGGGG